GAAGCGTCGAAAAACTTAGTTCTCTAGAGACTGAGTTATTATAGATAGATAGATAGATAATTTATTGACGTATACATTCAGTACATAGTCATATTACACACATTTATATAGTGCAATCAAACACAATATCATGGTACATGAACAAAGTTGTAGCACAAAATTTTCAATTTACATATTTTTGGAGAATGAACGTTAACACCATTTAGTACTAAAATGAGCTTATCTATTATAAAGCGTTTACATTCTTAAAGATATAAAAAAATGGATTTTAAACTTAATCATATGCTGTGATAAGATTCCATTTAACAATGTTTCATACTAGACACATTATCAAGTAATTTCAAGAAATAAACAATATCACTTTTAAATACAACGAGACAAATTTATACATTGATTTACAGAGCATTTAGTAGTTCAATTCGATGTTTTGTAGCATAATACAAATATTTACCTAAACCTATTAATTCAGATTTCTTTTCAGTACTTAATAATTCAATCAATTTGAACATACTTGGTCTTCTGTAGTAGAATTGCTTAAATGTAAAGAGAACGTATATTAGAGTAACTATTACAAACACATATAAAATGGAATTCATCTTCTATTTCATTACTATCGCAAAGCTGACATATGCGTTCCTCTCGGGGTATTCTATTAGCACCATATCTACCTGTTTCAATCCGAAGTTTTATGTGACGATAATCTTAATCTTGCTATGCAATTTCTATAAGTTCTGTTATGGAGAATTTTCAGGTAGTTTGCCATTTCAAATGAGTTATGCAAATGTGCATATATATTACTTAACAATGGACTGTTTGAAAATATCTCTAGAAAGTTTTTTGCAAAAAAGCAGTCAATCATCCTTTGTTTAAAAAGTTTAACAAAAATATTTGGATTCGTATTGAAATGGGTTGTTCCAAACATCAGAAAACCCGTACTCATTTAATATTCCATGTACTTTAGAAGCCCAACATTGATTGTTGTTTTCATGTAATTCAAACGAAGCGTACATAGCAGTTTTCAAAATGATATTATCGCTATTAATTATTTTAAGCCAGTATGTAATAATTTGCACATATCGTTTAATAAATAATGGATAACGACCTAATTCGCTATAGATTGCTGCAGTACAAGTACTTTGTTTTCACTCCTAATATAGATTTACAGAATTTAAGATGTAATCGCTCTATATCCTTTGATTTAGAAAATCCCCAAACAGCACTAGAATAGCTGAGCACTGAACCGACAAAAGAGTCAAAAAGTTGCAACGCAATGCTAGGGGTTAACTCATATTTATTAATGCTCTTTAATAAAACAGACATTGCCCTTTAAACCTTTACCAATTACGTATTGATTATTAAGTGTAAAAGACCCATTGTAATTAAAAACTACGCCTAGATAGTTGAAATTGTTAGCAATTTCTAATAGAATATCATTATAATACCAATTTTCATTATCTTTTAAAGGCCCTCTTTTCCTAAAAACCATTATTTTGGATTTATTTGTATTCACCTCTAAACCCCATTTCATACAATATTCATATAATTTATTTAAACTGTTTTGTAAATCCATAGGAGTTTTAGCAAGAATAGCCATATCGTCTGCAAAAAGCAAAATAATTAAACACAAATCGAATAATGAAATACCACTATCAATATTTTCTTGTAGAAAAAGTTCAATATCCTCTAAAAACAGAGAATATAAAATTGGCGAATTATTTAGGCCCTGTTTCAAACCCAGCGAAATATCGAAAAATTCTGTAAAAGTGTTACAATGTTTTATACATGACTTCACAGTAGCGTACATTGCTTTGAATATTCTAAGTATTTTTCCATCCAAACCAACCTTACAGAGCTTAAACCATAAAGCATTCCTGTACACAGAATCAAAGGCCTTCTTTAGGTCTATAAAAGCGCAATAAAGGCGTAACTTTTGTGATAAAAAATATTCGATTAACGAATTTAAAACGAAAATCGCGTCGACTGTACTTGCACCGTGACGAAAACCGAACTGAGCATCCGAAGATATGTTAAATTGACTTGACCAATTTTCAACACGCTTTGTTAAAACGCTAGTAAACAATTTTCCGAAGTTGCTATTAAGTGTTATTCCTCTGTAGTTATTGGGAGCATTTTTGTCCCCCTTTTTATAAATTGGGACGATATAACCATATGTCCAGGCTTTAGGAAAAAGACCTGAATCAAATATTTTATTAAAACAGTCGGTTAAATGTCCTGCAAGTATGTCTGCAGTTTCTATAAAATACTCATTAAGTAAATTATCAACAGGACATGAGGATTTATTACGATTCATACGACTTATTGCTTCACGAACTTCTTCTGTGGTTATCGGGATATTCAAAGACTCAAACGTGGGATTATTTACGTTAAAATCATTATTATTAACAAAGTTTTCGATTTCTTCAATCTGTGTCGCATGTAATTCGTTAAACATATTTGAAAAGTACTCATGAAATTCTGCTGGCGTAATATTGCTTGTATTATCCTTTTTATTTTGTTTAAAATGTTTCCAGAAGTCCCGGGGTTTCTTATGTCGTAAATCACTTAATTCTTGAGACTTACGTAACTTAAATGCCCTTTTCTTTTCTCTTATCAATGATTTATACTTACATTTAGCATTACATAGTAAATCCCTGTTCGATTGCGTTTTATTAAGATTAAAGGAACTGAGAGCCTGTTGATACTCTTGTCGCGAAACTCTGCATTCATTATCATACCATTCTTTGTTACAATTGCTATAAACATTACAATTCGAATAATGCTTAAAATATGGATCAGCAGTATTTTGAATAAGCGCAGAAAAAGAATCAACCATTTGATCAATATTATCATTAGTAATATTATCAGTGTTTATTTTAGACAAAATTTCATTAAATTGCGGTAGCTTAGCGATAACATCATTTCTAAATGCAGATTTATGCGCAGAATTCCACTTATAGTGTACCGTTGTTTCAAAATTGATATCACAGTTTTGCTCGGTTTGATTACTGTTTACTTTTAGTGAGAACGTTATCGGCGCGTGATCGCTATACAGATTAAAAGGTAAGACAGTGAACGAATCAATCAGTGGAAAATCTCGTGCAGATAGAACGAGATAGTCAATAGTAGTGCGCGTATTTCTATTATAGTATGTAAACTCGCCAATATTATAATCGTTACCGATTCTACCGTTAGCAATACGTAATGAGGTTGCTTTGCAAAATTCGAGCATTTGTGTACCGCGCGAGTTACATATTTTATCGAAGAGGCCCGTCCCAACGAAACATCTGGGTATAATTGTCATAATCTAGGCCATTAACGCATGAACCAAAGGAAATGTAATCGAGTTTATTTCCTACCCTACAGTTCCAATCACATATTAACATGACCTTACCAAAATCTTCGAAGTAAGCAACATCATTTAACAAAATATCAAACAAATTGTCCTGATAAACTTGAGTAATAGGTGACTCTTCCGGCCATAAGTATAAAGCACATAAATAAACATCATCATTTAAACAAAAATAACTTTTATCCAACTTTAACCATAAAATAGTGTCAAAATTATTTTTAACAATTTTTACTCCATCTTTAATCAAGTCACTTATATAGATTACAATACCACCGCTATCTCTTTTGGCTCTCTTGTTTCGAAATTTTCTATAATAGTTAACGCAAGAATACCCATCAATATTTATATTAGAGTCACTACAAGTCCAAGTTTCAGATAAACAAATAATGTCATGGTTATTTATCAAGTTCAAAAAGTCCTGGTCGGTGATTTTCTCTTCTGTTAATCCATTGCAATTCCAGGCAATAATTTTCAGTACATCTCCGGGAAATCCTATTTATGTTGTACCGGCTTCCCGTCGATATATAAGGTGTCGTAAGACAACCACGCTCGCTTGCCCTCGTCTCTAGCGGCACGAAGCTGTGGTACCAATTTGCGTCGTTTTTCGGCAACCTCTGTTGGATACTGCTCTTTCACGAAAAAGGAAGTACCTTTCAGGCAATGACCTTGTTTACGCACGGTCTCTCGATCCTTAAAACTAGCAAATTTACAAATAATTACCCTGTTTCGACGCTTATTGGGGTCTGCCTCCTGTACACCAGTACGATGCGCTCGTTCTATTACAATTGAATTTACCAAGTCCTGTGCTAACTTCAGCTTCTCAACCATGAAGTTTCGAATTTTGAACTCGGTGTCATGTGGCCGTTCGTTCTGAGATTCCTCAATCCCACCAAAAATGATATTGTTGCGCATGCTCTGAAATTGAAGATATGTTAGCTCGTTACGCATTTCAGAATTTGTTTTCGATAGTTGATCTAATTCGGATTGTTGCTTACTATCAGTAAATTCTAAATTTTCAACATTGGACTCAATAGCACTCACCCTCTCTGTTACAATTTTCTGAGTTTCATTCATTTTTGTCCAAAGCTTGTTTAGATCCTTTTCAAAAGTATCAACTTTCTTTTCCAAAACTGTTAGTGTTTCTATTTTTTTTTTCCATATGACATAATTTACTTGAAATAGATGAAAAACGTTTTAAATAGATTTCTTGGGCTGCTTTTGCCGGCCCCCTGGGGGTTAAATAGACATTTTAAAAATTAAAATAGTACCCCCATCTTGTACTGAATCGGGTATTTTTGTAGATTATCAAAAATCAGAGTTATAAAGTTAAAAGATGAAGAGGGTTTTTGCCTTTTATTTCCCAAAAAAAACACTTACAGAAATAAAACCCTTTTATGTCCTTGCCGGGGCCCCGCATGTTCTTTTTCTAAAAGTTTTTTTTTTTTCCCTCATCAGTACTGCCCTTCCCTTTTTTCCCCTTTTTTTGATTTTTTTTTCCTGATTTTTGGCAAATTAAAACAATATATAAACCCTCCACAGTTACAAATCTTCAGTCAGTTTATTTCCAAAATACTAAAAAATCAACAAACAACAATTTTTTCACAGAGCGGACAAAAACGCGTCCATTCTTGTCACGTGACCATGATATATACCAATAAAATATAATACAAAAGGAGATCAAAATTAATGAACTGAACTTCTATAAGTTGTTGTGTACATTGCCAAATTATCCCACTTCTATTTTTTTCTTTTATTTCTTCTAAAGCAATTTAAAAATGAATTAGATAAATAGGAGCATTCTAGTTCTTACCTGTTTTATATGTAAATAGTCATATTATATGTGATAATGGTTACATATGTCTCTAAAAAATCTTAGCTGATTTGTATTTTAAATGTATATGAATTTTATGTATTATACGTGTATTTGTAAATATGAGAATTAAGACACTTAAATAAACGAATATATACTTATTTCACAAACAATAATATAGCAGTCAAGAAATAATCAGTGATGAATATATACATGTACACCACTTTTGTAAAACATGCAGCGCACTATGCACTATTTTACTGTACTAAAATCATCTGTTACTTATTTGACAAGAATTCCACTGAAGGAGCTCATCTTCCAATCGCCTTCTTGTAAAGCATATTCGGATCTGCCATCCAAACATTTAACCCACACCTTCACTTCTGATTTCACTCTTATTACTGCAGAAAAGGAGCTGCAAGTATGGCCGTCTTCATCATAATTTGACGACCGAGCAATCACGTTTCCAGATAGCACCAACGCAAGAGGTGAATGTTTGTTGACGGGTGTACAATAATTAATAATAAATTGGTACAATCCCCCGACAGGAGCTGTGAAGATCCCAGTGGAAGTGTCATATTCTGATCCTTCATTGGTCATTGCTGTAGTAAATATGATGATTTTGTCTGTTCTGTCTAGCTTTAGATCTACCACATTGTGTGCAAAGAATGCAACGGAAGGCTTCTTCAAGGTTTCTGTAAATTATAGTAAACAGGAAAACATAGTATATATGAATATTTTTAGAGGGTTAGTGTTTGTTTTTGCATTATGAATGATATGATTTACAGTTTCTTGTTTTTAAATGGATTAAAATATGAATCACTGACAACATTTTGTAAAAGCTGTCAAATTAATTAAAACACCAACACACAAAAAAAATGTTTGAACTCAACTGAAATTTGAAATTTTCGTCAAAGGCAACAAATCAAAATGAACACGGTTTAATTTTAACTTATATTTTGAAATGATTTATACGTTTATACCAGCTATTATCATTTGTTTGAATATATTATGACATACTAAGTAATTATCGCATTCAGCTTATCTATCAAGTTTAAATAGGAAAATAGTTTAATACTTTTCTAATGTATTATGCTCTTACCTATAAACATCTTTATTCCTTTGTCCATATCGATTGTGAAATAATTCCGTAATTCATCAATTGTGTTCCTCAGTATTTCTGTAAAGAATTTAAATCTTTGTTAATATGCTCTTGATTTTGAATAAAGATATTTTACACTATAAACATTCGAACAAGATTTACTGACACTTCGGACTAGGTCATGAAACGCTTTTTAGACACGTTTCATCATTGTTAGGAACAATTCGTATCTGATTTGAGAATATTGCTTACCGCACAATTACAATATGTTGATAACAAAGATATGCCTACACTGAATACTTCTGGTATTAAGACATTCTTAAAATGCTATAAGACAAATGTTTTCCATTCTCATCCTTTTCGATTTGTGTAAAATATTTTGTTTATTATTTGTTTGTATGTACATTATATAATTATACTTAAAGGAACTCCACTGAGGTTTATAAGCTTAAAAACATAAAATTTTAATTTTTCACATAGATAAACATTAGCACTTAAAACAGAAATACAAATAAAATAAAACAAAGAAATATACAAGACATACATTGAAAATCATGTTTGTACTATGCTCAGTCCGATTTGAGTGAAAAGCATTTACACGCTTTTCAATTTTGGGTCATTTTTCAGTATTATAATAATTATTCTGGAAAAACGAAGCGAGCTAATGATCTGATATTTTGCACATACGATATAAGTATAGATCTACATCAAATGGAGTAATAATCTGAAAAAATTACTTCCAGTCCCGTCATGCCAAAAAACCTAAGTGCCCTTTAATATACTAGGTATATAAATATGTTTAAACCAAAATGCATAAACCTTTCATGAGTCCATATTAAATATGACACGTTTGAAATTCATAATTAACTTATTAATATATAAAAGATTTAAACGAGATAAGAATTAGCGGATTGATAGAAAAATAAGTATCAATAGTTATCACTGAGAGTTTTCTAAACATATTTTACAAAACGTAGTAAATGAACTGATATTGGAATTAAGATGCAAAATTATCAATGAATATAAAATTTTCAGCTGCAGTTTACATAACTAGTCTATTTAGAGGGGTAACTGGTCTATGCCAGCTAACAGCAAGTTTCATGAAACAAAATGTCCGTCAGGATCTGCATTTTCTCGAATGGATATTCATTTTGCCCAACTATGTTGCGCCAAGATGGCCTCAAAGATGGCCACCACTTCCCTTTTTATTCTAGAATGTCATTGTATTCATTTTACTCTTTTCAATTTTGTAAGATAATATTTTTTTCGCGCAATTTCCTGTGATTAACTTACTCATGCAATTAATATTAACTTTGCAACTTTCCATCTTTTTATCAGAACAGAACAGAACAAACCAACACTTTATTAACTTTAGTTACAAATAGCAACACAAGCGTGTACAATACATGGTATATCAATATATAATATAATAAGTGACATGGCAACTGAGCATCTGAAAAAAAGTACCACCGATATTTTTTATTATTTGAAGATCTTATTATTAAAAGAAGTTGGAAGTTATCGTTTAACCCTAGTTAAATAAGGAAAATTATGCTGCAAATTGGATATCATTGCTTATTATGTCCAGCATAATATTAAGTTTTGTTTAACCAGAATAACATTAATGATTTTTTATAACACAGCTTCGACAATATATATCTTAACATTTTTGGAATAAGTGAACTTTATCTGTTAAAATGAAATGTATAATTGATCTAAAATTATTGGGCGTGGTAGATTAAATACAAACGTAATTACAGTCAAATGGCGAAAACGATTTTGTTTACTGTAAGTAATGTGATGCTCTTACAGGATACACATACAGTCAGTATGTAATTACATTCAAACCACAATTAAGAAATAAGGATAAAGACATGTTTCTTTTCAATTGCAAACATCTTATCGTATACGGTACGGTCGTAACGGTGAACAGTAACTCCCTAATATTAAAACAAATAAAATGATATATATCAAAATTGAATAATTTTTAACTGCGGTCACTTTCACTGTTCTTATGTCACCGTTTAAAATGTAAGCATTTTGTTAAAACGTGACACCCCTGCTATTAAATTTTAAAAATGTGTATTCCTTATAAATGACCCCAGATGACATGAGCTGGAAATAAACGCAACACCGTTTCTGTCAAGCCTCCATAATATTTCAATATTTTGACAGAAAAACCTAGCCTCTAGAGTGTAAAAATTTTTGGTCATGTTACCTTGGTTTCCATAGTAGATAACCCACATTTAAACTTTAGACATCCTTGCCAAGTTTCGGGAGAATTGAGGAAAAAATGTGACCATAAGAGTGTTAACTAGCTCAGTGTGGAGGACTCACTACGGCTATGGCTACGACTACGGTACAGGTGAGCCAAAAAATAAAATAAGCCTCCATAGAAATATGAAGAAAGAGTGTTCCCTCAGAACCATATCTAAACCAATCGCTAGCACACGACCCAAACAAAAATTTATACATAGAATGACAACGTTCCTAATTCTTAAAACGAATGAAAGTATCAATAATTCATAACACAAGCCTAAACAAAATTTTATGTAAAAATATAAAAGTCGAAAGCATGATATATTTTAGCAGATGAAAATTGAATGTGACACATCGCAATCCATCGTTTATATATATTTATAGGGGTAACAATTAGAGAAAATATAGTAAACAAATATCAGTGATTATTATATTTCGCGTTTCGAGTGATAAAAATAAATCGTGGTGGAATAGAAATGTAAAGCTTGCAAAGGAATGAATATACTTTTACCGTAAGCAGTGAAATATGCCGTAGTAATTTGGACGATCTTTTTTTTTAAAAAATATATTCATTAAGTAATAGAAAGAGCACCGAAACACGAGGCTATCTGATTTGTACGAGGGGGTGTAGCCCCCGAGTATTAATCAGATTGCCGAGTGTTTTGGTGTTCTTTCTCTTTTGTATCATAGTCAAACATAAAAGCACGTTCCCTGTTGTCACAATATGAAACCCCGGCAAAAATGAACCAATGAACGAACATCTGAATATGACATTTCTGTCGCTTTCTCTTTCTCTGCCGTCACAATATGTAAACCCCAGCAAAAATGAGCCAATCAATGGGCAGGCTCTGGAGTGCGGGTTACTAATACCCGCACTCCAGTTAACGCACTGTGCATGTATATGTATACGATTTAACCCTGACACATTTTCAACAGAAAGGTCTCCAAACTATGATACAATTTAGTTTGTTGTGCTAAATGTTACTTTAAAATTGTAAAAGTATTAAATTAAAGATTGTTTTCATTATCACATCAAACTTGTATTAATTAATAATCTGTAAGTAATAGAAAGAGCACCTAAACACGAGGCTATCTGATTTGTACGAGGGGGCGTAGCCCCCGAGTATAAATCAGATTGCCGAGTGTTTTGGTGTTCTTTCTCTTTTGTATCATAGTCAAGCATGACAGCACGTTCCCTGTTGTCATAATATGAAACCCCAGAAAAAATTAACCAATAAACGAGCATTAGAATATGATATTCCTGCCCCTTTCCCTTTCTCTGTCATCACAATATGTAAACCCAGCTAAAATGAACCAATCAACGGGCATTATCTGGAGTGCGGGTAACTGATACCTGCACTCCAGTTACCGCACTGTGCATGTATATGTATACGATTTAACTGTGACACATTTTCAACAGAAAGGTCCCCAAACTATGATACAATAATCTGATACTAACTTGTGAGTGATTTAAAGAATAACTGACGTAATTGAGGCAGTTTGACATCTGCCCTGTATTAGAATTGTCTATGTTTAGATGAACCTTACAGCCGCATTAATTAGCAAAATAATTATATTGCCCGTAAGCTTCGTCAAAGAAATACCTGTGGTAAGAAGGAATTTTAAATTAACGTTATTATCATTTCCAAATTTAAAGCGGGTTATTTAAATGTATGAAATCAATTATTTTTGGACTTGTGTTTTTAGATTTGTTGTGCGTTTAATAAATTTTTTAGTTGTTGCAAGGTTATAATTAAAATCATTAAAAGTAAGAGAAAAAACAACAAACCAAAAAAAAAGCATTAAATAAGATAAATTACTTTACCTTCATTTTTTTCTTTGATTCCTTCCACCATCTCCGTGAGATTGTTCTGCAAGGACTTCTTAATTTCCTCCAGCGTAATGGAAACAGCGTCTTGGGTTTTCTTCATATCATTATGCATCGTTTCTACTTTTATTTCCTGCCTTATCATTTTTTCTAACAATTGCTCGTCATAAGCAAATTTTGAGCATATTGGTTCATTCGCCAAAGATACTCTAAACTGGTATTTTAAAAGTAAAAGAAGAAATGCACAAAATCCAGAGTACAACATTATGCACTTGATTGTCGGGGAAACGAAATGAAAATGTACCTCACAGATTTTCAGTCGTTTCTGCTATTTGCGATCCACCTTATAATCATGTACAGAGGGCTTGTCAAAAAGTTTGTCTCTCTTAAAGAATTAACCTAAATGGTAGGACATTGTTCCCTCATTGTAATTTCAAGATAATATAGGGTTATTTAATTGGCAAACTTCATGCAACAATTAATATAATTTGAATCTATTTGAAAAATAAATATATCATAATCATTTCATTATAAGTGGTAATATATGATAATCATGAGTAGATTTATTAAGATTTCAAAAGGGATTTCTTAAACGACATATTGGATCAGCGTCAACATTGTTTGTTTGAAAATATATAATACATATAAGGTGATTTTCTAATAAAATAGATAATGACTTTGTGTGATAAACCCATGATAGTGTTTGGAAGTGAAACAAACTAGTTATAATTATGAAACTGAAATTATAGTTAAAGATAATTACGGCTGTAAGTCATGCAATTAACATTGTATAACAGAAAATCGTACAGTTGGTAGTATCTCGTTATAAAGACTTATATTTATCATAAAAATACTTTATATACGACCCTTTTGAAAACTCGAATGAAATTATCAGATGAAGTTAGATTAATATTCATACTCTTTCGACAGCGTTTTCTTGATTAATGTATTAATGTATACGCTGTCGTCAAAAGAAAATATTATGGAAAAAAGAGGAAAACCGTTTTGGAGAAGAAAAAAAACTACTAACATGATATAAAATGCATCACTCATTTTATTATTTCTTGCAAACATTTGCGCTATTTGACGTTCGAGTTTCAATGTCAGGCAGTTCTTTTCTCATGGGAAACATTTTGTAGATTTGAAAAGGTCTTTATCTTTTTGCAGGTTAAACAATGTTTCACAATGACAAAATTATTTAAACAAAAGGAGATAAGCAATTAATATTCTCTTGGCAAGCCTACCGTAAAAAGTTGCCCCGTACTTCACTTCAGTGTTGTTATATTTTCTGGTCCTTTGGGACCATTGAGTCCAGCTCTTTAAAGTGTTGATAATTGAGCATCACTCAAGCCGGTGCTAGGGACGTGAGAGGTGTTGCACTTTTTCATTTTACATCATGTACAGTCTCAATGAAACCTAGTATTCTGCAATTTTCATGTAATTTCGCTGTTTTAATGCTTCCGAGGGATCACTTTTTCCAGACATTTATTACAATAATGAAATGCAACTTGAGTTCATTTTCCCTTTCACACGCATCTAAGAGTTTTATTTATTTAAACTTTTAGTAATACCCCCAAAAATGTTGTCATTTCGCTTAGCAAGAAATCATTGATTGACACTGTCTCGTCTCATTTTGGGGCTTAGAGAGGGTTTGGTGCACATTAAACATATTTATAGACCCTATTAGTACTGCTGCTGGCGGTGCCCCGTTATGTTCATTTAATCTATGTCGTGTCAATTCTTTTATATGTGGTGACACTTGTTGTGTTTCTGTTTCTTCCCGTCCTTTTTTTGTATTTCCGTTAACAGTTAGTATTTCCTCGCCCTGGATTTGCAGTTTTAACCCCAACCAATTATCAATTTCCCCTACACCATTTCCCGTTCTGCCATTTTTATATAAACAAATCACATCGTTGGTACTCTCATTTAATTTTCTAAGATTTTTCTATTTAACATAACACGCCCCGTCATTGTCTGCACTCGGCCCCTCATTTTTGTTTGTTGCCCGACTTGTTGCCTCACGACGATCCCGTTTTGAGAGCTGCGTTTACTGAATGTTGTTCTCCTTCTTTGATCTTTCCTTACACATACTCTGTGTATCTATAAAAATCTTACAATGGCCGAATAACAATAAATATATGACTAATGAACAATTTAATCAGAGTAAAATTCAACCCCCCTTAGGTTTTATATGACTATTTCAGTTACTCTGTTGTGCCTTCAAGCCGATTTTGATTTTCCAATAAAGCTACTTCAAGCCGACAAACTAAACAAAATGATTTATCTAACAAACTATAATGTGTTCTCATAGATATGGCAATTACATTAAATTATTTTTTTTTCGAATTTCAAGAAGTTATTCATATCGTTACAAATATACAATAGCCGATGATATATAAAGCGTGTTATTACATTAACTTTTATATGCATTTTAGCACCAGATATTTGACGTTGTGAATACAAAAATGAACATAAATGTGAACACATACAATGCTAGAAGAACAATGATGGGGCATAAACAAACGTACTAATAGCAGAACATATACAATGCGCATACTTAATCTACGGTTTCCACTGATACTCTAAACTTACTTTTGATATAATGTCAGTATTTACAAAACAATTCAGACAACCTTTAGAATCTAATTATTTTGATTACAATTGTATTCAACCTCATTATTGATATTTATATAAATGACAACATTTGTTATTATAATAACTAATAATAATTTCAGACAAGTTGATACCCATTTCCATCGGGTTGAATGTGTGATGTAACTTACATAACTATATATAAAAATATAATTATAAGAAACATATAATTCAAATATATTTTAGATAAAAGCTTTAAGTAGGAAAATACGAAATCTCTAAAAGAATAAATTGATAATATTTCGGTCGGATATAGATTTCTTATGAATTTGAGCATACTTAACAGAAATTTGTAGAAGAATTCCAGGATACATGTCTTGCTGAAATCTAGAAATTGTTCGTTAAGTAATAAGCTGTGGTCATAGAATAGTGGCGTCCGTGGTTTAGTGGTTAAGGTCGTTGGCTTAAAATCACTCAGATGCTCTTTCGTGCCGGAAATAATAAAACGAAGGGCATCTATTGTCTTCTTTCAACATTCAACCGTAAAGCTGGAAAGTCGCCATATGACCTTGACTGTGATGATGCAACAAAAATACAACAATGCACAAAAACCATCATTTGTTCTCTTTTGGTCAGTAATGTTTGATTTTGTTGCCTTACAAATGTTTTATTTGTTGAATACAACTATTTCTATTTATACATAACCAGAAAAAAGGGGAAGAAGAAGTAGACAACATTTAACCCATATCATTTCTACCGTATTCACTATTTTGACCGGAGAAAAAGAAGTGCAACTAGGGTGGCTTTACGATCACGAAAATCACCAGTTTAAGAGGTGAATGTTCTGATATGCGAAAAATAAAATGAAATGTTTTGCATATCTATTTATTTCCCTTTATTTTATAGAATCCTAATTAGAAGCGATGGCAAATAGATTTCTCTTGAAAATAAACTGTACTTTTTTAATTTCTATGATTTTTTGTCGATTAAATATTCCTTAAAGACTTCTCCAGTGCTTTGTCTTATACATTTTTAAATCAACTACTGTGCTTTCACTACTCTATAACATTTTCAATAACATTTCAACTTCAAACACGGATTAGTTTATATAAATTTATTTAAGTGCGATTGTGTTGGAAGCTATATGCTTATTGAAACACTCTCGAATCCGTTCCTTGAACCAACAATTACAAAGCATTGAATGTAAAGTTCATTGCTCAAGGAAACAACGGCTTGTCCCTTACAGGTTTTGAACCACGGATTGATTGATTTTTGCTGAAAAATATAAATTACCACCAAAAAATGGTATGATGACCTTGAGGTTTCAATTCTTATCTCAGGGCACATAAGTCACCTTAAACTGTAAGGTAAAACCCACATTATGTACCATGGATCTTGTATATCCCAACGTTCTTTCTACCATACCAAACAAACAACAACACTATTGAATCTTAACGAGAAAGGCTTTTACATTTTATTGTGATATATAAAAATTATACAAAAGCATGTCCTGGCAAAGCTTATGAAAAAATCTCTACTTCAACACAATTGATCATACATCTAAGTGTAAAAATATATGAAACTTTATCACATTATGTGAAAATATATCCAATATTCAGTCAAACGAATAATTATCCTCATGATATATGAAAGACCATATACATTGTAAATGTCTTGAATTTAATGTGACTCTTTTTTAACTAACCTTTAAAAATACTGTCATTATTTATACTACAGTTTGCTCTTCCAATAAATGCACCTTTCAAAACTAAAATTTAGTTTAAGCTTAAATTTTTCAAATTATTTCATTCATTATTGTGTTAAATATAACTACTGATATGCAAAGTTAATGAAAATAAACATTATTACAGATATTGATTTCAGACAATTTTATTCTCTTGTCATTGTTCTGAATTACCTAATATTAAGTTTCGTAACTATATTAGAAAAAAGTTGCGTAAATGTAAATGGTTTATGCGATAATACAAATCTACATTATAATAGGACGTGTAATTCAAATATGTTGAAGATAAATTCATCGGCTCTGTATGCGAAACTACATTTTTATTCACTGATTCACAGGAAATATCGAGGACCATTCTCTTTGAAATCTAAAATTGCAAGATATTTTGTTTAGCTATTCGTCGTGAGCATAGATTTTTATTATGTATCTTAAGCTTAATTGGCAATTCAGATAAGTATGTATTTAAACAGTTTGCTATGTTAATATTGGTTACAAATGATTTATTTGTTGATAAGAATTCCACTGAAGGAGTTCATCTTCCAACTGTCTTTGTGTAACTTATAAACGGATGTGCCAGACAAACATTTAACCCATATCTTTTCTGACGAGTTCACTCTTATAACTGCAGAAAAAGAGTTGCAAGTATGGTCGGTTGAATCATAATTTGACGACCGAGCAATCACGTTTCCTGATTGCACCAACGCAAGAGGTGAATGTTTCTTGACGTATGTACAAAAATTAACAATGAATTGGTACAATCCCCCGACAGGTGCTGTGAAGATTCCAGTAGAAGTGTCATATCCTGATCCTTCATTGGTCGTTGCTGTGGTAAATATGATGATTTTGTCTGTCTTTTCAAGCTGCAAATCTACCACATTGTGTGCAAAGAATGCAACGGAAGGCTTCTTAATGTTTTCTGTAAATCAAGAAAGTAGAAGAAAAGATTATACAGATATATTTGGACGGATATCGGACGGTTATTGTTTGTTATTTCTTTGGGTTGTTTTGCAATATTGATGATATTATTTGCGATTTCTTCTTTTAAATGGATAAAGATATGAATAGGGGACGAGATTTTTTATAATAGTTGTCAAATTAATGAAAACACTACTACAAAAGAAGTCACCTTAATTATTGAGCTATGAATAGTAAAACATCTGATTACTATACTGATGTACTTTTATCTTACCTGAAAGTTCTGTTAACATCTTTCTTCCTTCATCCATACAGTTTAATATATTTTGTAGTTTTCATTTTTTTTCCCCAGTTTTTTTTCAAAATAAACTTATTGTTTCCATGTTTTTATTTTTAATAAGAATTTAATTAACAAATATTGACCAGACGGTGGCCATTTCAACACTATTTAGAATTTCTTTGGATTTGGGCAAAAGGAACACTTTTTTAAAGTGTTTTTTGGAACACTTTAATCATTTTTAGGGGCACTTCCTTTTCTGTTTAAGAATATTGCTAACTGCGCAATTACAATATTCTGATAAACTAGTTTCGTTATATAATTATGATTTAAATGAGATAAGAATTAGCGGAACTATAAAAAGCTAATTTTTTATAGTAATCACACACAGTTTTCCAAACATATTTTACAAATGAACGTTTTCTGAGCGTAGTAAATGAACGAACTGATATTGGAGAAGAGATGTAAAACTATCATTGAATATCAAAAATTCAGCTGCACATCAGCTTATATAAGTAGCCTTTTTCAAAGATTAACTGGTCTATGCGAGCCAACAACAAGTGTCATATACTAAAGAATCTGCAGTTTCTCGAAAGGATATTCATTTTACACCACCCTGTTGCGAAGCCGAGGCGAAGATGGCTTAAAAAATTGCAACCACTTCCTTTTATATTCTAGAATATTATTTTGTAGGCTTATTTCTCTTTTCCGTTTTGCAAATTTAATTGAGTTTTCACGCAATTTCTTTTGACTACCTAACTCCTGTAATAAATATTAACTTCGATTTTAATTTGTTTATCGTTTAACTTCAGTAAAATAAGCAAAATAATGCTGCAAATTAGACATCATAGATTATTATGTCTAGCTTATCATTAAGAATTATTTAACAAGAATTACATTCATGATGTTTTTACAACACAGCTTTGAAAATATATATAAACATTATTGGAATAAATGAACTATGCTATCTGTGTAAATTAAATGTACTGATCTAAAATCATATACACAAAAGGTAAGGTAGTACGAACGAGATTAATATAATAGAATGGCGATGTTTACTGTAAGTAATGTGATGTTCAAACTTGATATATAAAATTCAATCCACAATGAAGAATTAATGATATACACCTGTTTTACCCCAATTACAAACATTTTATCGTATACGGTAGGTCCTACCGTCGAACATAAACTCCATAATCGAATACCGGTATGTTTAGTTCAACATATTTAAACGAATAAAATGATAAATCTTGTCATAAAAAGACCCAACAAAGTTACTTTTCAAAATAGAATAATTCTTTAAATAGGTCGGCTTTACGATTATTAGGTCGCCGTTGAAAGGGTTAATAAACATTTTCTGAGAATTGTAAATGGATTAATTTTGGTGAAGAGATGTAAAATTGTCAATGAATATCAAAAGTTCAGCTGCTGATCAGCTTATTCTACTAGCCTATTTAGAGGGGTAACGGATCTATGCCAGCCAACAGCAAGTTTCATGTACCAAAATGTTCGTCAGAATCTGCAGTTTCTCGAGTGGATATTCATATTACACAACTCTGTTGCGAAGCTGAGGTATCCAAGATGGCGTAAAATATGGCCACCACGTCCTTTTATATTCTAGAATATAAGTGTTGGCTTACTTCTCTTTTCAGTTTTGCAAATTAATTGAGTTTTCACGCAATTTCTTTTGATAAACTAACTCGTGTAATAAATATTAACATTTTTTTCTATTCTTTTTTTTAAAGTTTAATCCCAGTTAAATAAGCAAAATCATGCAGCAAATCGGACATCATTGCTTATTAATTATGTCTAGCTCATTATTAAGTTTTGTTTAACCAGTATTACATTCATGATTTTCTATAACACAAATTCGAAAATATATATAAACATTATTGGAATAAGTGAAGTATGCTATCTGTAAAAATTAAATTTTTTGATCTAAAATTATATACACAGTAGATTGGGTAGGTAGTACGAACACAATTACAGTAGAATGGTGATGTTAACGGTAAGTTATGTGATGTTCATACTTGATGCTCATATGTTCAGTATAAATTATGTAGTTAAATTGAATAAATTAAGAAATAAGGATAAAGACCTGTTTAACCTCAATTGCAAACATCTTATCGTATAAGGTTCAGTCCTAACGGTGAACAGTAACTCTATAATCGATTATGTTTTGTTCAACATATTAAAACGAATAAAATTATATATCTTGTCATAAAAAGACCAAACAAAAGTATTTTTCAAAATATAATTATTCTTAAAATACGGTCGGTTTCACGGTTATTAGGTTGCCGTTGAAAGAGTTATCATGTTTTTTAATTGTGACACCCCTATATTTGATTTTAAAAACATATTTTACTTATAAAGACTCCGAGCTAATTTTGACCCCAGACAACGAATTCGAAAGTATGATATGTTTTAGAAAATAAAATTGAATGAGACACGTTCGAAATCCATCGTAACTATATTTATATTACCAATTTAATAGGGTAAACAATTAGCGAAACTATACAAAATAAATATCAGTTAGTATCATATTTAACATTTTCTTAGAGTGATAAAATGAATAATGGTGGAATAGCAATGAAATAAATATACTTTTACCGTAAGCAGTGAAAATGCTGAAGTAAGTTAGGTACACATGTTTCTTAAATGATAATCTTTGTTTCAATTTCAATCTATATTAATTAAGATTGTTGACTATTTGTATATAAGTCTTCTTTAAAAGTGTACATGACTATATGAAATAAATTAAAATATTACATTGCAACGTCAAAATTGTTTTTATTAATAATCTAAAATCATCCTATACAATTTTTTTTGTGATTTAAAAATTATTGATGACATTGAGGCATTTTGACATCGGTTTTGTATTAGGATTGTCTATGTTTATACCTTGTCTTACAATCGTTTTATTCACTGACAAAGTATTAAGAAAATTATTATATTCCCGGTAACATTCATCATAGAACAACGTGAAATAAAAACAGATTATCAATTCACGTGTTTGCCGTTTTTAAACTTATAGCGATTTTTTTCAATGTATGATACAAACGATTTTTGGACTTACGTTTCTATATTTGTTGTGCAGGGAATAAAATTTCAAGATGAAATGAGATTATAATGAAAGCCCTTAAAAGTAAAAATATAAAAAATGCATTGAATATTAAAATATACATTACCTTCATTCTTTTCTTTTTCTAGAGTGATTCTTTCCAACACCTCCGTGAAATTGTTCTGCAATGACTTGAGTGTTTGAGACACTTCTTCACCAGTCTTCTTAATTTCCTCCAGTGTGTTAGAAACAGCTTCTTGGGTTTTCTTAATATCATTCTGCATCGTTTCTACTTTGATTTCCTGCCTTATCATTTTTTCTAACAATTGCTCTTCATAAGCAAATTTTGAACACATTGGTTCATTCGCTAAAGACAAACTTAATTGGTATTTTAAAAGTAAAAGAAGAAACATCCAATTTCCAGAGAACAACATTATGCACTTGATTGTCGGGAAAATGAAATGAAAATGAATAAAGGCTTCGCTATTTCGCTATTTTACTTGAAATCATGTGCAGAGGGCTAATCAAAAATTACATTAGTCTCCTAAAAGATATTTTTCATATAAAGTGTTGAGAAATCTATCCGAATATTGATACTCTATCTCCAATATAGCATTTGAGCCTACACCTAGTATGCAAAATATATTTTATATGCTTGCAACAGGCTAAAAGAGATACATTTTAGACAATTTGAAGATTAAATGATCAACCTTGTAATATGTGATCATCATGAGCATCAATTGAGATCAGAATATTATTATTAAGATTTCACAAAGAATATCTTAAGTGACAAGTTTGGTCAGCGGCAACGTTGTCTTAATATATATATAATATAATAGATATGATTTTCTAAGAAATATTTAAATTGTGGTAAACTTACTGCAGAATGTTCAATTGAAACGCTTTGATTTTAAATCTCGCTGTAAAGGATTTCGGGTAACGAACATTGGAGTATGTGCTTCTATCTTTTATTTTCATACATCAGCATGTAACAAAGCTGCTATTCTCTAAATAATTAACTAAATTAAATACGTTTTCAGTTTCAACTATAACGCCGCTACATATAACGGAAATCGTTTTAAAAACATTACCAATAATTATACTAATTTGTTCAATGCGTTACGTTAAATTAGTTGGCACTAAACAACGTTTAACGTAAAAATCTTTTTAATTAGAATCGACTAATAAACGATTCTTACACATGCTATTGAATGGCAGTCAACCAATATTATCTTACGGTATAGTGTTCAATGTCACACATATAATTGGTATGTTCTTGTAAGAAATAATGCAAATGACACCATTTTGAAAAATAATGCAAATAGAATTAGCAAGGTCCTACAATAGAAAGTATCTCTTCTATGATTTTCTAATAAAATAATAATTTTATCATATACATGTACTTAAAATAAAATATAATAATATAGTAACATATGACATACGAGGCAAGAAATTTAAACAATTTATGGCATTGATAACATAGTTAGTTCTGATTTATATTATTTTATTGACAAACTGTTCAAGTAAATGATATTGACAAGATCTTGAACTAAACTATTGCATTGATATAATTCAATATCAGAGTATGTTGTTACAAGGAATGCCAAATATTGACAAGCAAAGAGTTATGTAAATTATAGTCTTATTTATTTCCCAAAAAGAAAATAAGACAACAAAGTATTAAAATTTAGTAAACAACCCTCTTAAAAATACTAATAAAATTATCAGATGTTGTGAGATTTATTTTTATTCAATGCAGAAATGGTTTTCTTAATTAATGTTTACACTCATCTGTCAAGAGGTAACATGGTTATAATCAGAAATAATGCATCTTTCGTTTTATTTATTTTTCTTGCTTTATTTTGGCGTCATGGGCAATATGTTTTGATTTCATTCTACTTTTTTTCTCGTGGGAAACATTTTGCAGATCTGTAGAGTTATACAGAATACGTGTTGAAGAAACACAATATGCTATGTATCATACGATCTATAGTAATAGTATTTGCGTTAATCATGTTCAAAGAAAAAATTGTTTAAGTTAAAGAAAATACGCAAAAAAGTAATGCTATCCTTTTGGTAAGCATAACAAAGTTAAATGCAATTCGGGTGAAAAAAAAAATGAACCATTTAAAAATAAAGTTAAAGAAGAGCACTCATTACTTCTGTACACTAAATTTAGCTTACCATAATAATTCATGTTAAGGCGGATAAAAGTCGTATTACTTCAGAAATAAAAATAGATTCTACTTTGGACGTTTTATCCGTGTCCACCAGTCTTTGATATATCGGGCTACATTTATAAGTTTGTAAAAGACCAAACAATATGTGTAACTGAAAAAATGTGATATTGTGATATTTCTCAAAGGTTGCATGGAGTGTTTTCAGATTGTAAAATTTATTAAAGATATTTTTCGCTTGCAATGAATGCAGACATTTTATATTTCATAAAGCGCGTCTGGAAATATCAAAGAAGCCTTTGTGTTTTCACTTGAAAGAAACAAATTATCATTATATCTAAGGTCTCGTTCTGTTGCTTTCTAATAAATTTGACAAGTTATCAAAATTGGCTTTAAATTAAGCTGACTTAAATGACAAGTTTCATTCGCGTTATTCATGACGCATAATAATCGTATCCATAATGCGTTCCTTTTCGTTATATCTTTGAATGTTACTTTATAGAACAGGAACAATTTTTTTATTCAATTAAGCTTTATTTAAACAGTATAATATGACATATATCTTACTATATTTGATCGTAAAACGTATAACAGTTATGCTATAACTTACGACAGATTTTAGGCCACTTTGTGTTCACGTGACTTATATAAAAACACATTTTAAAACGATTTGAGAAAGAACTCAAGTTCATGGACAGACGTTTAGTTATATCTTAACAATACTTTTAGTACTTGTGTAGGTAACTTGAATATGTTGTCCAATATATAATTATTATATCATTGATCTTTATTTTCTCTTTGTTTATGAGAAAATGTTCTGATACATATTTCCATCTGTATTTTCTCTTTGATAACGAGAAAATATTATAATACAATACGAGAAAAATGCTAGACAGACACTTAATATTCCTTTATCAATTCAGTCAATTCATTTTATATTCTTTGCCATATGTTATAGCATAAATGTTTTAAATTCTTATAGTTTTGCAAGTTTTCCTTTTAGGCGAGTTGACAGTGATCCGGTGTTTACTGTTTGGGTATGCGTTCATTGACTGCCGCCCTTACTTGTTGATTTTTGTTTTTATATCTTTTACAAACTGTAGACTGGAAGCGTGTACAGAAGCGTTTCAGAGAAGATATCTTCAAAACTAACAAAGTATATCAATGGAAACGCTTACAAGTACAACTGTTTTAGTTTTGTGCATATTCTTCCTTTTTATTCTTCAGAATCGTAATTAGAAGCGCCGGCAAAAAGATTTTACCAGAAAAAAGTTTTATGGACATATTTTCTATTGAAAAAAAATCGTCAAATATTTCTCCGGCAATCATCGCCTGTTAAATGTTTTGAAGCGACTACATTGTTGTTTGCTCTTCAAGTCCTACCACAGAAAGATTTGTTCAATAAAATATTTTTATTGTGTTCGCATAGACATTACAACAACACATTTCATTGTTATTTTTTTTCAAATTTATAGAGCAACAAAAACATATAGCTGGTGATTTATCTTGCAACAAGTGCATAAAGCTGGTCATAACATCAAAGTTTATTAGCAATTCAGCTGTTTTGCCGCTGTCGATTAAAACATGGATGAAGAAATACAATGCTAGGAAAAGCATCAATGATGCAAAAAGTTAAAGAAGAGCACTCATTACTTCTGTACACTAAATTTAGCTTACCATTTTGGATTTCTTCCGTCTTTTCTAACTTATCATTTTGTTATTGTTCTATTATTAATCAAACTGTTTCCTGCATCCTTTACAATTTTGATTAAATTTCACAAATTATTCCAAGCCAGTTTTACTTTATTGATTGCATAACTAATGATACATTGTATCAGAAATAAATTTTGGACAAGTTTTTTTTCCATTACCATTGAATGTAACTTACATTAACCACATAGAAAACATGCATAAATGTTAAATTTTATCATAATGAATACGCAAGTACATAACTACACATAAAATTCAAATGTATTTAAGATATAAATTATGACCATCGTATAGGTTTTGAAAATACAAGAATATATTAATTAAATGAATATTTATAAGAAGTGGTTTGCTGGAAATTTCTAGATCCTTTCTTGTTGACCCATTTTCTCGAATTCCAGAATTTCTAGAATATGATCATGGATTTCAACTACAATCTATTTTATTGTACTGTAATTAACAGTTTCCTACGTGACATGTATGTGGATAATAAAAGCTTTATTTGTTAATAAGAATTCCTCTGAAGGAATTCATCCTTCAACTATCTTTATATAAAGCACGACCAGACAAATATTTAACCCATATCTTTTCTGCCGATTTCACTCTTATTACTGCAGAAAATGAGCTGCAAGTATATAGTCCGTATCGTAATGGGACGACCGTCTTTTGACTGTCTTCTGACAGCACCAACCCAAAAGGTGAATGTTGCATCCGATGAGAACAATAATTAACAATAAAGTGGTATAATCCCCCAACAGGTGCTGTGTAGATTCCAGTGAAAGTCTCATATCCTGATCCTTCATTGGTCATAGCCGTGGTAAATATGATGATTTTGTCTGTTCTGTCAAGCTTTAATTCTAAAGAATGCAACGGAAGGTTTTCTGTAAATTTAGAAAAGATTTTAGAAGTGTATTTCGATAGATATCGTTAATAATTCTGCTTTCTGTATGTACAATTATTAACAATAAACTGGTATAATTACCCGAAAGGTGCTGTGAAGATCCCAGTGGAAATGTCATATCCTGATCCTTCATTGGTCCTTGCTGTGGTAAATATGATAATTTTGTCTGTTCTGTCAAGCTTTATATCTAACACATTCATTGTGTGCAAAGTATACAACGGACGGCTTCTTGATATTTTCTGTAAATGTGGAAAAAATATATAAATACATTTGGACAGTTATTTTTGTTATTTGTTTTTTTTTGTGCATTATTGGTGATACTGTTTGCATTTTCTTACTTTTAAATGGATTAAAATATGAATCGGGGACAATGTTTTTATAAGAGTTGTCAAATTTATATATTCGGAATTGGTCAAGGACACACATTTTAACGTTTTTTGGACAGTTCTCATTATTGTAAGGGACAATTGTATATTGCTAAATGCACAATTACAGTGTATACTTATAACCCAGTTTAGTTATAAATGATTTAAATGAGATAAGAATTAGCGGAACTATAAAAAAGCTAATTACTAATTGTTATCACTGACAATTTTCCAAACATGTTACAAATAAACGTTTTCTTAAAGTAGTAAATAAAATGATATTGTAGGAGAGATGTAAAATTATCAATGATAATCA